TATTTTCATAGGTGAAATAACTTACTAAGTTATTAGTATTAGTTAGTTATTAGTTACTTACGGTGTTAAATTTATCTTTTTACATAACTGTTTTTTTAGAAACACCGACGCAGCTCACACTAGTTAACCGTCAGTTCCAACTATTTTGGAACATGTTCAGTTTCACTGACTTTCTTATTGTGGATTTTGTCCAGATATAGATGAATGTACGACAGGTCCCCACGGTTGCCATGCCAATGGTCGTTGTGCCAATACTATTGGTTCCTATACATGCCAGTGTAACAGCGGTTACTATGGTGATGGATACTCTTGCACCTCCGGTATGCTGTAGATTTGCGCTGATTTAAAAATTAATTCTAATTCATTGTGACACCGGTAGAGAGAGACGTTACTATCATCACAGCTAGAGGCCATGGCATGTATGAACTCATAAACAGCTTTTTAAAGTAGTTTCCTGACAAAACCGACCATGTAGATATACTGTAACTAAAATTTACGAAAAGTATACAAACTTTACAAACTTTGTAAAATAACAATTTGTTTGTAAATTGAATTTACAGTATATTTACAAACTTGGTAAACTGTATATTAATCAACTTTTCCCGTGTATTTTGGTTTGACGTGATCCTGGATAAGCAATTTATAGATATAAGCTCAAAGTGTGCTCGCATTCTCAGTTTATAGAAAACAAAAATGCAATATTCAACTACTTTAACTGTTTCTAATGCATWCTCATTTTTAGTGCATGTTTCGGTCCAAACTGACTGTAACTATACAAGCATAGACGAYCGTAGTGGSCATTTCGAGTCACCAAACTACCCATTAAACTACCTCGACAACCAAAATTGTTACTGGACGCTCACATTCGATGCAAGAATCACTATTTCCTTCGAAAGTTTTCATCTGGAGGATACCCATGATCATGTGCGAATTTACGATGGYGACTCGAGCGGRCATACGTTACTTGGTGAATTCAGTGGCATTTCCACCCCTTCACCAGTGTCAAGCTCATCCAACCAGCTATATATCACTTTTAGTTCAGATGATTCGGTAACACGTTCAGGGTTTAGGGCAAAGTATGACGGTAAGAAAGTAACTTGAAAATACCCTTGATTTTTTCCATTAAATCATTTAAGAATTCTAGAAATGTCTAAGGCTATTAACCCCACGCCGTGAAAAAGCAGGCGAAGGGATTGAGTTCCCAATAATATAGGGCCAATCGTCCTTTCTAACTTTAAATAGATAGATTTGAACTTTTTTCTGTTATCGTTTTGAGTACTCCTTTGACGAGTTCAAAATGTTAAGGAGCAAATTTCTCTCGCCGTTTTGTAGGGGAAAAACTACCGTTTATCGTTATGTTGATAGTAAATTAAGTAAGCAGATGTCCCAGAAACCGAATTTCTTGACTACATGTAGGTATATCCATATGAGCACATAAACGGGAGTTTTGAGCCTTGTCTGTTATAGAGCTCTATTATGTTGCACTTTTAAACATCTTTAAATACATCTAAAATAATCTTAAAARCATCTAAATATCGATTCTACATAATGCAGGAATAAAGCGGTTTATTTAGCATACTAAAGTTATTTTTGTTATACACCAGCTTCCATCCGTCTGGTTGGATCATCTAACAACTACGAGGGACGTCTTGAGGTCTATCGCAACAGCCAGTGGGGTACTGTCTGCGATGATGTATGGGACAGTGATAGCAACGGTGCTACGGTCGCCTGCAGTCAGCTCGGCTTCAGTGGTGTCCAGTCCTACAGCACCAAAACCTTTGGCGAGGGAATTGACCCTATTTGGCTTGATGATGTCACGTGCAACGGTAACGAAACAAGGATACAGGACTGTTCACGCCTCGGTGGATTATGGGGAAATCATAATTGTGCTCACAGAGAAGATGTAGGAATTATATGTAGCCCATAAGAAGGAAACTAAAAAGCAAGATTTTTGTTTTGTTTGCTTGAGAAACTTTGACTTCATTATATCATTCTTAAGTTAGACATTTTTCTTTCTAGCTTTATGAGGGTGTTGTAGTACCCGCTTCAATGGTAAACTAGACACATAGCTGTGTAAACTCGCACTATTTTCATTCGGAGTATTATTTTTGTAGTATTAACTTTATGTTAAGCCGATAACACTTTTAAAATAGGTGGTGAATGTGTGCATTAAAAATTACTGCATGGCAAACTTGCTTATTATTTCAAAGGAGATCATTTTGGGGAGCATCGATCCTTCAGCCCCTCGAAAACGTGTTTTTTATATATATTTTCAGAAATGTTTAGTTCCCTAAGGAAAAAAAAAAGATACGGATTTTATCTTCGAGCTTTGAAAATATTTATTCAACACTTGGAGACAAAATCCGTATCTCCGCGCGCCCATGTATTATCCTCTGTTTATCATCTCACCAAATGTGTCTTTGGCGTTTTTTTTCATGTTTGTCTGTTTTTGGGTGTGAGTTGGATGGTGGTAGTTGAAATGGAAATAACTGGATGTTTTTATCCATAGCCGTCAAGAGCTTTCTGATTTAGAGGTGTAGGAAATTTCAGAGAGACTTTTGTTAATTGCTCAGAGATATTGTTGGACAGCTCGATGACGCCGAGGGGGGCATTGTTAGCTTTAGCATAAGGCACATACTTGCCATTGTTTAGGCTAAGGTTTACTTAAAGCAAGTTTTTATGTTCGTCTCTAGAGTTATTTTAAAGCTGCTATGCTTTGCTAAAAAATACTATGCGGTGGGTTGTTACGCTGGTGACTCCAAGACCGTCATCTCTTTATTGGCTAAACTTGTTACAATATTTGTTGAATAGGAAAGCTTCGAGTAGAATTCAGGTCCATCTAGCTCCAAATGACCGTGAAGAATTGAGGATTTTTTCTTTAGAGGTTTCGTGGAGTGTAGAATCATGTCTCGTGTCTTGAGCGATAATTTGGACTTTAGATGCCAATGATATATTCTATTTATCAGTAATGTCAGATATGCGGAGTTCAATTTATTTTCAAATCTGTCTAGAAATGGCTAAATTTTTATCTGTTGTACAGGATGGGGTGGATGGAGTTGCATTGGATCAAGTTACAGACGAGACGGGCCGCTCTGTAGAACTGGACAACAGAAAGAGATTGTAATATGTGCGGTATATTACATGGTCAAAATGACAACATATCTGTTAATATACTGCTTAGAAAACAACCAAACAGAAGCAATAAAATATAAAGATTTTATTTTCATTCACAAAAATTGTACTGTAGCTTATTGTTGTACACGGAACAGATACTGAAAAATATTGTTTATGCGCATTTTCCAGGTGTAAAACGACGAGCAATATTATTCATACTACACCAAGACGTACCTAGGACAGAATGATTGGGTGAGTTGGATGAAAATACATATATGAACTCGAAGAGGTTTTAATGTCCTCAATGTCAAATCTCTTTTACTTCAAAATCTGCTAAGTACAGCCTCTAAGAAAGAGGAGAGGCCTTATTCTAGGTACGTCGGACTTTTAAAGCATTGTCTAAATTCATACAACAATATTCATTTAAAGACGGTCTCATTGAAAAAAATGACCTTGTGAGCATTCTTATCTGACGTGCATCACGATTTTCAGTTGATTTTTAATAAGGAAAAAGTAAAATTTCCGACCTTTAACTTGTAATTAATTGTTGCCCAGTGTAACTACCTGACCTGAAGATACCCTTACATTCCTAAAGGCGGAAGTCCTATGCATATGTTTCTTACGTGGACTTTTCCAGATCAAACTAAGGTTTTATTTGCACTTATTATTTCGAAGAGTAGTTTAAACGTTGTCTTAATGTTTTGAAACTTTCCACTTAAGTTCGTTTAAGTTGATACGTAATCCACACTCTCAGAGTCTCTGTAGATTTACGTCAATACCCTTGGCTCAATCTACATAAGTATCTAATGTAGCCGTATTCATTGCATTCAATCTCAACAGTCTCCCCTGCGAATCATAATGAAATACAGAGATCATTACCCAAGAGAATATAGCATTTGATCACAACAACTTGATCAAGTTACAGATTCTCGTCACAATTATGTTTTCTTTTTTTTTAAATTTATTTGACGGCATATATGATATGTGTATTGGCGAAGAATATTTAAGCCAAAACAGTCACTAAGAAAGGGCGTTACTACGAGGTACTGTTTCAGTTGCTACAAGTCGTCGTGACGAGTGGAGCTAGCAAACATGAGTTTCTTTCTGGTTTTATTTGCATCGTTTGTTGTTTTTGCTGCTGTTGAAGGTATATTTGAGTTTTACTTGAAGTAGCATCGATGAATTCTACAATTTTTAACATAGTTTCTATTGAATATCCACTTCCGTGAAGGCATTTGTAAGCAATGCTGCCAATCAGTCTTACATCACAAATCAGAGTGCGTACTAGGCATTGCTGACTTTGGAATAATGATAAATTAGCTTATGTTAACTAGTAGAGTGCAGGCACTAAATGTGTGAAATATAAATACTACAAAATAGGTGATCAATAATACAAATTCCTTTGTTTCCTACTGTATAATCAACACTATTTAGTAGTAATTAGTACTATTTGTTTCACGCTTTAAGTGCGAGCACTCTATAAAAAGGTTTGCACTGCTATAAAGAAGAAGTGTGTGCTCTTATTTCGTGGACGTTTACTACTTTTAGGAAAAATATTATGATATAATCTCTTCCGCTAGTGGATAGCGTTAACGTTTTAAGGCAGTTTGATTGTGATTTCAAGAAGTTTTTTTTTTATATATTTTTCGCTGCAGAAGATCCTGCCAACACCCTAACATATATCTCTATAAAACTCTTTAAAGCTTTTGTTGTTTTGTTGCTTTATATCGATTGTAACAATAATAGTCTCCTTCACGGTTCCCTGCGCCATCTCGAAAGTGAACCAGTGGCCAGTGGACCGTGAAGAAGACTATGAACATGATATATTTATTCTGCATTGTCGAATTTTCATTTAATCTTATTACAAGGGCGTTTTTATCATGACCGTTTTTTATAATTTTTATCATATCTTTGTCGTTGCTTGCATTGCTTATCTTAGCCAATAAACTTCGGATAAATTTCACAAATTACCGAGTTTCTGTTGTGCTTTGCTTTCAATCATTGTACTATTTTTGCGCAAGAAATCATCCTACAGTCTCCGAGCTAGCGATTGCCATTGGCAGCTTGATTGCATGGCATTTTTTTTTTTTTTTTTTGTTAAAAGCCGCGCCACGATAAAAAAGCTTCATTTTAAATGCATTTCAAACATTTATAGGAATAACCTACAGTTACTAAGCTTTCAGAAAATATATACTTTGTGAGCATTTGCAAAACAACAAGAAGGTTATAGTCGATGACGCGAGTAGGGGTCGCGTGGGTACGCTGATACCTTAATACAATTCTAGATTCATATATAATTTAATGCGGAATCCTGAAGTCTCGAAAAGTTTATCAATTCAATGACGATTTCATTCTAGTAATCAATGCAAAAAATTATATATTGTGTGAGTGCATGGTCAAAAATGCAATGACCTCAATTTCTTTTAATCTCACTGAACGTTTTTGTGTTAAACAGGCTTGCAGCATGGAACTCTTCGCATCGGGCAGACAAACCCTGATAATTACTACTGTGAAACTGTCACTTTCCCAACAAACTTCACGGGAGTTGATCCTGTCAAAGTCTTTACGTCAGCAGGCTTTGGCACAAACTCATCACGTGTACATGACGTAGTGTTCACGTGGGTTGAGTCTGTCACTACAAGTAGTTTTAAAGTCTGTCTGGTAGAGAATGGGGTTGGATCGGATGGCGATGTGACTATTAATTGGATGGCTTACCAAAGCATACAGTCTGGTGTGACGGACGGATCCGTCAGGTTGAACGACTGGACAACGGGAACAGAGTGTAAACAAGTTATTTTCTCTCACGTAAGCAATAAAGATTTTCGAAACTCATTTCTCGTCATACTTTCAGCTCTTTTATTTTTCCTATTCTTGATATTTCTAAGATTTATTTCTTTTTAGCTTTCTTGTGTCTTATTTCTTTTCAATTTTAATTGTCCTTTCTGTGCCCTTCTCTTTTGCACTTTTCATCACTAATTTCCCATATCTTGTTTTTGGTTTCTATATCACAGTTCTTACATGTTTTTTTGTTGATGTTCTTCTAATTCCTCTTCTTTTATTTTTTCTTTTTTCTTTTTGGTTTTCATTCATTTTTAATGTATTTACAGAATTTTCCAAGTGTTCCACATATCTTCATGTCTGCCCATCACAATGTGCTGGACAAAAAGCAAGATGCAGCTACAGTTTGGGTGGAAGGTATCACCAGAAACGATTTTACTGTTTGCATGAGAGAAGCAAGAACCTTCGATGGACGCCATAAGGACATCGATGTGGTACGGTATTGTGGACATATGTTATTCCACACAAACAGCATACTTTAAAAATAATAATAATGTTTGACATGGAATCATTTAAACCGTAAATAGCTGTTTAACAATATAAATTTGATGTTATCATAAGTTCATTTATCTATTGCAGACTTGGATGGCAATGACGGAAGTTCCCCAGACATGGAATTATCATGACTTTATCAGATTAGACTTTCCAAACACACTTGTACCAAGCGAGGCTGACAATGATGCATTTTGCCAGGTATTCCAGAGACAAGTTCCAACCTACCACATTATTAAAATCAATTCATCCATGGGTGATTATTTATTTTGGCCCTATATTTATTTGCACAGTTCACGATCTTGATTTTAATTCCCAGGTCGTGAGCTTCCACGAGCCGTACTATGCTGCACCGACAATCGTTGTTGCACCAAGTCACGAGTATGACAGCAGTGATATTAATGCCATTCATCCTGAGCACAACTCCATCTCTGCCTGGGTTGAGGTAAGTTGGTCGAAAAACACAGCAAAAGTGCCATTCACTGTACATTTAGAAGTAGTGCCAGATCAAATAAAAGAAAGACGCAAAGTTGTCGTTGATCCTTGCCTTGACATTAACTTAATATATGCAGGAAACTACTCGAACAAACTTCATGTGTTAAAGATCTTGTCGGATTGGACAACAAACATCATCCAATTGAAGTTGACTATATTGTGTTTGGAGGTAAATTCTTCACTTATTATAATAATTCATCCATGACTTTTCAACGCTTCAACTTTTTGATTGAACTGATCTTTTGCACGTATTTCTTCAACTGACATGATTTACTGTTAGATCTTGATCCATGCATCAACAAGACCTGTGAATATTTTGGTGTTTGTCAAGCCATGTCAGCAAGTGTTCACCAGTGTGTGTGCGTTACCCAGTGTCCATCTTACCAAGATCTCGTGTGTGCTTCTAATGGTCGAACGTTCGATAACATGTGCGCTCTGGAAAGAGAAATATGTCAAACTCAGGGAAACCATTCGTATTACCATCCAGGCGGCTGTCAAGGTATTAACGTCATTCAATCCACATATCATCTCATAAAAGACGAATTTATCTCTAGGAATTCACTGCTAGTTGTATGTATTTGAAATTGAATAGAGACTAGAAATGAATCAACGTGCTTGTCAATCTTACTTGATTTTCTTTTCTTTACAATTATCTCACCCTCATAGGTTTTCCATTCGACAAAGGGACGCATCATCTCAACCATGTTTCAGTCGAGTCCCATTGTGAAGTTGTCTCTCTCCAGCCCTACGCATTCTATCCCGACAAACCCATCCATGTCCAATTAACTGTCAACTACATTAATGCGTCACTTCCGGCTAATGTGCATGACGCAACAGTCACGTGGTCAGAAAAGGTGAATCCAGACAACTTCACTGTGTGTATGACCAAAACTGGAAGAAATGATCAGCCTACCAATGACGTGGCATCAGTTGATTGGATAGCTTATCAGGGTTCACCAAACGGAGGGGTGACTGGGAAGGAGCGTATTACACAATGGTGGACTGGTACAAAGTGTACGACGTTATCACTACCGAGTGTAAGTAAATAAATTATTTGTTAAAGGATATGAAAATTAATGTTTGAGCCATTATAGCAAAGTACAACACTTTTTTTTACAACACTATCAAATGACCACATGCTACTTTGCAAAACTTAGTGAGCAAATAATTAACATAAATGTTTAATTCAAAATAATTAAAAAATATCATTAATTTCAGGGTAAATTCACGGGTACCCCCACGGTACTAGTCACTCTCGAGCACCAGAGAGATGGACTCAAACACGATGCTGCCAGTGTCTGGGTCGAGGGCATCAGCTCTTCATCATTTCAAGTTTGTATCAGAGAGCTGCAGAACTTTGATGGAATTCATGAAGAGATTGACCTGGTGATTTGAAATACTTTTTTGTATAAATTTATTTTTGTGTTTGTTTCTATTTACAATTCTATGTTTGATTCTAGGATTGGATGGCTTTTGAAACACTTCATCTCCCAATCTTCTATGAACATGGTAGTGTTCACTTCGCCAATACCGAAACGCCTCTAAAATCCAACAACTATGCATTCTGTGAGGTAAGTTGTTTGGTTTGTTTGTTTTAATTATTCTTGCCTTTTTTCTACTAAATTCCTTTTTAAATCAGCATTCTTTTAAAATACATTTGCCAACTGCTTTGAAAATTTCAATTTCTGACCTCTATAACATTCCTTTTTACCAATAAGAAAATAAAATTTGATTTCAGGTAGTGAATTTGGCAAAAAGCTACACAAGACGACCTTCAGTGTTGATAACAGCAACCCATGATACAAGTGTTGGCCTTACTAACCCTACGTGCAACGGGATTTCTGCATGGATTGAGGTGACTATGCATCTTTTCTTCGAATGCACAATATTGTCAAATATTTCATCGTGTTTTTTTTTCTTGCAGAATATCACGTTGGTAACATTTCGTGTTTGTCTTAAAGAGTTGTACTCCGACCGTTATGACCCTGTCACCCTGCAGTACGTGGTTGTATCAGGTAATTGATTTTGCTCATTTAAAGATTGGATATTTCTAGATAATTAAGTGTACATGAAATGTTATTCCATCTGCATCGAGTTTTATTTCTTGAAAAACGTTTTGTTCATAGACCAAATAAAGAGGAACAATATGCATTTAATCAACATGGATTTTTGAACTACGATATTTTTTTAACATTTTAGACATGTGTGGAAAAGGCTGGAACTACTTCAATGGCTTCTGCTACAGGACCTTCTCTACCTGTGCCTCTTGGAATGAATCGGAATCCAACTGTCTTGATGTCAACTCCAATCTGACCAGTGTCACCAGCCAAGAAGAAAACACGTACATTCAGCTTCGTCACGGCGGTGATACAGGATGGATTGGACTACAAGACATTGACAGTGAAGGAAACTTTACCTGGATTGACGGTACCAATGTTGACTTTACGTACTGGGCGCCAAACCAACCAAACGGTTTCCCTGGAGACCAGGATTGCGTTCATACCCTTGGATTACGTCATGACTATCACTGGAATGACGTCACATGTGGATCTTGCCACGCCTACACGTGCAAACGAGGTAAGACGTTCTCATTATTGGTTGTGCATATTCATATTAGTTTAAAGACGTTCAAATAGCTACACGGACTTCCAAACAACTAAGTCCAAGTGTCAATGTTACAGTTTTTGTTTGCCAATGTCGTCGTCTAGTTTTTGTTCGGTAAATTAGCTTTTAACCTCAGTGCTCAAATAGTTATATGTTTATTGTCGGATAAGTGAGCCCCTGAAGTTAGGTACGCGTTTCTGATGACCTTTGATCAGTTGGTTTCTTTACTTTATAAGATTTCTACCATTTCGCGAAACGACCATTTCTGAATCATTCAATAATATTGTTGTGAGGGCAGAATTTGTTTGACGCTTTCTTCAGTGTTCTATATAAACATGCTAAGCAGTCACAATCGCAATCACAATCGCTCATGTGTTCAAAAAAATACATTGCAAAAAGCTCGTTGAATGGAGGTATTCATGACCAGCAATTTTGGATAAAAAGGCGTCGTCCCTGGGCATAATAAAATGCATAAGAAAAACATCAAAATACACCAGAAAGATCGCTGATGCTGCTATTTTGCTTTTCGAATCGTTATTGTATGCTGAAAAGCAATCAGGGAGCACAGAGGCTTCGTTTTTTGCTTTTCATTTTTGCTGTAGAATTTGCTCTATTTTATCGCTTGTTTCAACAATTTTGCAGTAGAATAATCTCATTAAGTTTCGCTGTGGCATCTTGAAATTGCATCATTAAGCGAAGAGGACTATTGGAGTATTCTATTCTATGATAAATGTCCCAAATTGCTGGTAATGATACTGATCTTTGGCTTTTTTTAATGCTTCCAGGGTTGTTGTAGAGGAACTAAACGAACTAAGCGAACTAGGGAGGCCCAAACGATGTAAATTCAGCTGTCTTAAGAAAATTCAAAGAGAAAACATTTGACATCAAGTATTCTAGCATTCTGATTTCCATTGATAATAATATTCCAATCCCAGAAGATACATAAAAAAAAGTGTCCCGCTCGCTAGTAATCTCGTCACCATCAGATGACCCGATAATTTATTTTTAGAAAACCAATCACAACGTGCGCATATATAACACGGCACCCGATTGGTCCATGTTTTCCCCTGTCTTCCCAGGCTATTTTGTTCTTGAACTACTTCCGTTGCATTGCTCATATAGTAAAAATAATGTTTTCTATCAAATTCGTGTAAAATCCTCGTAATGTAAACTTCACTTCTTTGGCCTCCACATTTTTCTTTCTTGTCCGCTCTTGAAGTAGTATTAACAAGGACCAATTTTTATATGTGAGCGCAATGTGATTGGTTTTCTAGAAAGGTAGATCGGGACATCTGATGGAGCACGAGATTACTCGCGAGATGGACATTTTATGTTATGTAGTTCTGTCTAATCCCGAACATATTGTTCAGTCGTAGTCTAAACTTGTAATTTTCCTTATCATTTTAGCTTAGTTGTAATGTACTTTTTGTAATTATCTCGTGTTAGCTGTACTGGTTTTGACCGCAAAACGAATAAACTAACAATTAAAAACCCTTACATTTGTAGTTGTGATTTATTCGTGAAAGTTATTTCTGAAAAAGAACAGCCTTTAAACAAGACATAATATGTCAGGTGATATTATAAGTTTTAGGCCGGAAAAATATGGAGAATATGTAATTTTTTTCGTTATTTAAGTAAAGATACTTGAAATATTGAACATAAGTTGGGAATTCGCAGCACAACCCATAAGACCGAAATTCACGTTTCTCAAAATATGCGCTGCGACTTTGATTCCGCTCATTCAGTTTTTTTGTAAAATGTTCTCCGAGAAAGCTTTATCTATGAGATATTATTAAACTTTTCACTTTAGTGAATTATAATAAATAGAGTCGTTTGAACGCTTTCTATATCATTCCTTCGGCATGTGTGTCCCATAAATGGTCGTTCATATGTTGTATATCCAGTTACATTCATTGTATAGTATTCCAATTCCGATGGATTGAACATGAAATAACCAGTGAACAATAAGGAACAAGGCATGAAGAACAAACTTTTTTCATTGGGAAAATAGAAAAAAAGAAAGAAATCGCATTAATGAGGGAAGCCCAAAAGCGGAGCCTTAGAAGGAAAGTACCTGGAAGTCCGTGCAAGCACTCTGAAAACGTCTAGTTATTGGTTTTTTCCCTTTTATGTTACAATAGAATATTATTTTCAATTGTTTCAGATATTGATGAATGTTCTGTTGATTATCACATGTGCGATAGAAATGCACAGTGTACTAATTCTGATGGTTCGTACACGTGTGTTTGTAATTCTGGCTACAATGGTGATGGAACCTCATGCTCAGGTATTATATTTGGTCAAAATACTCTGTGTAATTACAATTTTCTTTTTAAAAATCAATCGACACAAGCTAGACATCCAGAGGAAAATTCTCAATTACTTAGGGAGTATATCATGTATAAAGAATGCTTGCATATTTGGCTCTTATTTTTTCAGATATCGATGAATGTTCTTCCGGCGTCCATTCTTGTGATTCCAATGCGCAGTGTACAAACACCGTGGGATCCTATACCTGTAGCTGCCGTCTTGGTTTTAATGGTGATGGAAGAACTTGTTCAGGTATTTCACCAGCTAGATTACGAACTATTCTGATAAAAGATGCTTCTGCTGGAGTCATTTAACCCAGGACTGCTCGTATGTCGCCCTATAGGCCGGTGGCAAGACATACTGACCGAGAAAACAAGCGATTGCGCATCCCTAAAGCTTTCTTTTGTGACAGGTTCACTATATTTGTCTTTTAGATGTGGATGAATGTTCTTCTGGCGCTCATTCATGCAATGTCAATGCACAATGTACAAATACAGTTGGGTCATTTACCTGCCAATGTAACTCAGGTTATCATGGTGATGGACACTCATGTACTACAGGTAACTTTAGCTGAATAGCTTAAGCGGAATGCCGATGTGCAGCTGGAGGTGAAGTGACCATAGCTCAAATCAATATATTTGAATATGGAGGCGAAACCAGGATTGTTATGAATAAGTCTAGACATGTTTGCTGGTTCTTTTTTATATATTATGATTTCAAGCTTTCGACCTTTTGATCTAAGGTCTTTGTCAAGAATGAACTATAAGCATAAACTACAAATGTTATATTGAGTGGTTTTGAATAGAAGATCATTATGTTGTCCAGGCAATGGTTTTGAGTTATTGTCCGCAAAGTTGTCTTAGATCAAAAGGTCGGAAGCTTGAAATCATAATATATAAAAAAAAGAACCAGCGAACATGTCTCGACTTATTCAAATCAATATGTTATGAAAAAATGATGAATAGTTTTTAGCGCGAAGTGGATCTTATGTCGTAGACATCAATTAAGATGCACTTTTATGCATCTTGTAATATCAATGGATTCTATAAAATGCTGGAGTAAAGACTTCTGGTTAAGTAATAACGTTATCTTCTTGGTGATATCAGATTCTATTCGTCTCGTTGGATCATTTAACAGCTACGAGGGACGTCTTGAAGTCTATCACAGCGGGCAATGGGGTACTGTCTGTGATGATGGCTGGGGACAAAGCCAAGCGTCGGTCGCCTGCAGGCAGCTCGGGTTCAGTGGTGTCCAGTCCTACATTACCAATACCTTTGGCGAGGGAATTGACACTATTTGGCTTGATGATGTCACCTGTAATGGTAACGAAGTAAGAATGCAGGACTGTTCACGTCGCTATGGATTATGGGGAAGTCATAATTGCGTTCACAGCGAAGACGTAGGAATTATTTGTATCCCATAAGAAGGACACTACAAAGCAAGAGATTTCCTGCCATTTACCGAATCAGTAGAATCAATCTTCTTTGTTCTGTTAGCTTGAAAAACTCTGAACTTATCATATTGTTGTTCATTGAGACATTTTCTTTTGTAGAACCTGGTTCAAAAGCAAACTAGACGCATAACTGTGTAAACTCGCACTCTTTTCAATCGAAGTTTTTTTATAAAGTTTATGTTTAGATGCTTACACAATTAAAATGGGTGGCGAATGTGTGCATTAAAAAATACTGCTTGGCAAACTTTGAATTAAACTAATTTTCAGTTTTCATTATTTCAAAAGACTAGATCGTTTTTGGGAGCATCGATCCTTCAGCCCATAGAAAACGTTTTTTTTTTATAGTTTGGAAATGTTTTAATAGTTTCGTGAGAAAAATGTTATTTTTGAGAGTATTATAATCTTGCTGGTAACCACCTGTTACTTTTATCTGTCTGGGACATAAGAACAGATATATTTTCCCCAAAACTCGTTGGCCCCTCCAAATGTGTCTTTGGCGGTTTTTCATGATTGTCTATTTTTGGGTGTGGTTTGAATGGTGGTTGTTGAAATGGAAATGGGTGGATTATTATATCCGCAGTTCTCAAGAGCCTTTTTATGTGTAGAGGTGTAAGCAGTGTTAAAGGAATCTTCATCATATGAAATTTCAGAGACGCGCTTGTTAATTTCTCAGGGATATTGTTGGACAGCTTGTTGACGTCGAGTGGGGTATTGTTAGCTTTAGTATAAGGTATGTACTTGACATTGTTTAGTTTAAGGTTTACTTCATTAAGCAATAAAGGATGGATACCCTGCGTTTATCGGTGAAATAAAGCACGCGGGGATGTTGGGAGAACACGAAAAAAGGCCTAAAAAACACGAGCGTAGAGAGTGATTTTTGGCCTTTTTGAGTGTCCTCCTAAGGCCCATTTCTATTTATACGTAGTTTGTTTAATCAACCACGAATAATTTTAAACTTCTTTCCAAGCTGGTAAAATTATTAAAATTATTCATGGTTGATTAAACAAACTACGTATAAATATGAAAAATACAGCCAGCAAAGATCTTTAAAAAAATCCCCATTT